CCTCCAGGCTGCAGCCTGTGTCAGATTTCCCCTTCATTTTAATGGAAAGACTGGCGGATAACCTAGGGTTTGGAATATTACACACTTGATTTATCCATGCATCTGTTTATGGACACTGGTGTTGCTTCCATCTTTAGGCTATTATGAGTGGTGCTAATAAATGTAAAAATACTCCTACCCTCAAATGCTCCTTTCCATATCCTTAGCAACACCTTTTTTTTTGAGGATCGACTCTATATCCTGTATACAGCAGCTGAGGAGTCACTGCTAGCTCCACACTCAGGAATTATTCCCGTTGGTGCCCAGGGGACTATATTGGGTGCTGGGATCGAGCCAGGCAGGGTGAGCCATGTGCAAGGCAAGAGTCTTACCCGCTCTACTGTGAGCAAAACCTTTTATAAAGCAACACCTAATTATTTATGTTCTCTCTGTGTGCACATGTGCTTAAATAATAGCAATCCAAATGGGGATGAAGTGAACAGCTCACTTTGATTTGCATTTCCCTAATGATCAGCAAGTCACATTAAGCATCTTTTCATATGCTTATTGGTCATTTGAATATTTTCACTGGAGACAAAGGCAATAATGTCCTTTGCTGCTTTTTCTTCATCATTTTACAGTTATTGAGTTGTACTCTGCATATAAAATGCATCTTTACATATTTCTTAAGCCTGATGCTCTAGGGATGTGGAATCTATCACATGAGTGACTCCCAATCCTCAAGAGACACCAGAATTACCAAGAAACTTAAGATATATTTGTATGGCGCAGGGAGATGGCTCTGTGGCCAGGCCTGCATGCATACTCGTGCTTGGCTTTGATTACCCGTACCACTGGGCCTGAGCAGCGCCACATTATGGGGCCCAAATATTGAACCACCGCACCCCACTCATTGGGGATGTGGGTAGTGATACTGAGTATTGTTTGGGACTCCCCTTATCTGTGCCCTCAGTAGCTTAAGCTGATTGATCTGATGTAAACATCATTCCTTTAAATAGTTTCCAAGTGGTTCTTTGTTGTTGTTTGCATTTTATTTTGTTTGTTTGGTTTCTGGGGTCACACCTGGTGATGCTCAGGGGTTTTACTCCTGGCTCTGCACTCAGAAATTACTCCCTGGTGCTCAGGGGACCATATGGGATGCTGGGGACTGAACCCAGTTGGCTGCATGCAAGGCAAATGACCTCCCTGCTGTACTATCCCTTGGGTCACCCAAGTGGTTTTAAGATGCACCCTGAGGTGCAAATCACCTCTCCACTGGCTCCCTGAGGCGGGGCTGCCCTCTGCCACGAGCTGCTGAGAAGGAAAGTGGGGCACTTTCAGTCCCAGGGCCGATGGAGCAGCAGCCAGCTACCATGTCCAGGGAGTCTCGGGAAGGAGACTACGGGAGGGGCCGCGGCCTGGGGCGAGAGGGTGGGCACCTGCTTCTCTTCCCTGCCACTCAGGGAAGTCCTCTGCCTTTCCTGTGCCTGGAGCTCCCCCAAAGGTGAGGAAACTGCGCTAGTGCTGTGGTTCTCGGGCGAGCAGCACATCAGATTCAACTCTGGAGCCAGCCTCCTGGACTGGAGAGCTTGACAGCAGGTCAGATGTCGGCCGGGCAGGCAGCTGACCCTTGTCCAATCATCCACTCACTGGCATGACATGTGGTCCCCTGAGCACCACTAAGGGGTCACTACGAGTGACCCCTTAGCCAGAGCCAGCAGTAAGCCCTGATGCCAGGACCAAACTAAACCAAGACAAATCGTCATCTGGGGTGGGTCCTCCAAGCCCCAGCGGACTTGATGATCCTAGCTGTGCCTAGTGGTGGCTGGGTGTGGCAGCCTGGCCAAGCTTCCCGATCATCTCTGCGGCCAGAGGTGCCAAGCGGGCTGAGTGGCTTTCCCAGTCTCTGCGGCTCTTTACCCTCCAGATCTAGGGTGACTGCTGTGGGGTCTGTGGGTCCCTCATGGCCCGGGCCATGGGTGCTATGCTCTTCTTCAGGGCTGAAAGGGCTTCTAAGAATTAAAGAAGAAAAGCAGGGATGGAAAAAGAAGTGCAAAATGTGCGAGGTGGAATGGAGAGATGCATAGAACAGCTGCTGGCCGGGATGGGAGAAGGCAGTGATGATGAGAGGCTTCCTTTTAAGCAGCCTGCACTTTGGGCAGCAGGAGACAGGAGCGGAGCGGGGTTCCCACTGGGCATGTGCCAGCGAGAGCAGAGGCTTAAGCCCTGGTGGTTGGGTTGTGCGAGCCACAGTCTGCTGGCCATCCTGTGAATGCCCCTGCGAATGGGAACCAAGGAGCCGGGCGGGATAGGGCGGGCGCAGGCTGTGGAGGCTGGGAGCTCTGTGCTGCCCACCCTGCCTGTTTCCCCCCACCTGCCTCAACTGCTGTCCCTTCCTCATCGGTTCTCAGGTCCCATCCTGAAGCTGTCCTTGAGCCGATGCTGTGCTGATGCTGGATTTGTTCCTGCCCCGCGTTCCCAGTGGGGCTGGGGGCCTGCAGCAGGGGTGGGCACCACCTCTCCCGGGTCCAGGCTGGAAAGCTGGGCTCAGAAAGCCTGAGCCTAGGGCAGGCATGTGCTCTGCATGCAGCTAACCTGGTTCCCTCCCGACCTCCTGATGGCTACCCAGTCCCGCCCGTTAGGAGCAATCCCCAAGTACCCGAGTGCAGAGGCAGGGCCAAGCCCTGAGCACCACCAGCTGTGGCCCTCAGACAAAAGATGGAAATCTCAGCCTTCTGTCAAAACCCAGTCCCTCCAGTGTACATGCATGCGGATGTGTGGAAGAGCTTCGTGGGTCCCAGACACGGAGCAGCCCCCTGGGCTTTGGGAATGCGGATAGCCGTGGAGCAGGACTGCTGCTGTCCTGAGTACTCTCCTCCTGAACACTGGACAGTGGCAACACTCATGATGCGGCTGGCCACAGGCCTCGTCCGAGGGTTTGGTCTGAGTTACGGCTTCACCCTCTTCGTGCCCCACCTCCCGTAGGGGGTGAGTCCCACAGAACCACTGCAGCTTCCCTTCCCTGCCCGCTCAGGTCTCTGAGGAGCAGCATCTTGTATGTGTGTGAATGTGCATGCGTGTGCATGCATATCTGTGTGCGTGTGTGCATGTGTGCTCATGCGTGTGAGTACATGCACACATGTGTGTGCATGTATGCATGCGTGTGCGTGCGTGTTTGTGTGCATGTGTGTATGTGTGTGCGTGTGTGCACTCTTGTGCGTGCGTGTGTATGTGTGTGTGCACATGTGTGCATGCATGCGTGATGTGTGCATTTGTGCACTCTTGTGTGTCTGTGTACGTACGTGTGTGCATACATGCACGCATGTGTGTGTTTGTGCACTCTTGTGTGCGTGCGTGTGTGTGTGTGTGTGTGTATGTGTGTGTGTGGTGTATGCCCACGTGTGCCTGCGGGAGTGTAGAACTCGTTTTACTTCAAATTGTCCTGCAAGTGAGACCCGGGCAGGGCGTGTTGTTAGTGCGAGCCGCGGCGCCACCTGGTGGAGGATGGGAGGAAGGCGGGCTGAGGGGAGGCTGCAGCCCTCTGGAGATGCTCACGTCTGCCCCCTCCAGAGCCAGGCCCTCTTCCCAGCCCTGTGCCCTGAATATCTAACACTCCGCTAAGGATCAGCTGCAAAGCCTCGTCCTAGCTGAGACAACTCTGGGAGGCTCTCAGGGCCAGTTTCCACAGTGAAATGAGTGGATTCGGGATCCTGCCAGCGGCTGTCCTGCTCGGATGCGCAGCCCCTAGGGGCCTTGGCTGAAACGCAGCCTGGGCCCCCATCCCAGCCCTGACCCAGGGGGCCTGAGAACCTGCAGTGAGTGCGTTCCCAGGGGACTGCTGGGCGGGAGAATCAGTATTCTGAGCAGCTCCTCTCCCTGTGTGGGGAAAAGGATGAAGAGGCCCAGGAAGTGCCCCAAGTCCAGAGCAGGGACGCTGCCCAGGCTCGCGGGGAGGGCGAGGAGGGTCCCGCCCAGCCTGGCTGTGCTGGGTCTGCTGGGGGTGCTCCTGGTCCCTGGGGAGGCTGGACAGTCATGGAGGGCAGGGGGACTCTCAAGGGGGGAGGGGGTCAGGAGGGGGCTACCGGCTCTCCCAGGCGGGGCAGAGGTGGTGCTGCAGGAGACCACTGGAGTGACATTCACAGGAGGCAAGGCTCCTGCTCGCCTCCTGTCCACCCTGGTCCTATCCCCGGCACTGTACATGGACCCCGAGGCCCACCAGGTCAGTCCTGAGACAGAGCTAGGAATAGGCCCTGGTGTGTGACCCGAACACACGAATGCAAATAAACAATAATGAATGCAGATGAAGCAGGCCTAGAAAGCGTGAACGGCATTTCGAGGCTGTCCAGCTCCTGGGAGAGCTGCCAGTCCCCAACCCGCCCTTTTAAAAAAGCATCTTATTGAGACATCGCACTGTTGCACTTTTCTTTTGATTACTGTTAATCACATTTTTCATACATACATCAGTCCAACATCCCTTCCAACGCTGACTTCCCTCCACCAGTGTCCCCGGACCCCTCACAACCCCCCAACCCCAAAGCTCAGAAGGGAGACAAAAGCTTCAGTCCTGATGCTGCCCACCTGTCGTTCTTCACATGCTGCTTTCTTAGCCCACTTATGAGAGATCTCTCCTCTCTCTCCCTCTGCCCATCTCTCTCCTCTCCCTCTCCCCCATCTCTCTCTCCTCTCTCCCTTTCCCTCTCTCTTCCCCCTCTCTCCCCTTCTCTCCCTCCCCCTCCCTCTCCCCATCTCCCTCTCCATCTCTCTTCCTCCCTCTCTGTCTTCCTCCCTCTCTGTCTTCATCTCTCTCTCCTACCCTCCTCTCTCTCTCTCCATCTCTCTCTTCCACTCCCTCTCTCTCCTTATCTCTCTCCCTCCTTCTTTCTCTTCCTCCCCCCTCTGAACACCTTCACACACAGACCCATCCTCTAACTCAGGACCCAGAGAAAGACTGCCAGGCCCGCTGGGTGCCCCTCGTGGTCCCTGTGCGAAGGCATGGCCCCTGCCCCACCCGCTGAGCCTACCTTTCACCAAGGGAAAGAAGCAGTCCATCTCCACGCTGCTCCGAGAGTGGGAGATGCACAGGACGCTGCTGGGGACCAGGCCTTCCTGCGGGGGGCTCCGCTCCGTGGTGCGGACCAGACACCAGCCGGGCCGCTCGCTGGCCCGCTCCAGCAGCTCCACGGTCTGGCCCACCTGGACGCTCAGCTCGCTGCTGTGTGCCGCGCTGAAGTCCTGCAGGACCACGGTCAGCTCGCATCCTCCGGACAGCTGCAGGGCAGGCAGAGATGGGCAAGAGAAGGGGATGGGAGGGGAGAGGGAGGGGTTGGGGGAGAAGCAGAAGAGGGGAATTAGAGAGGGAACGGGACAAAAACAGGGAGAAACAGTGATGAGCACAGAGGCCTTCAGGGCAAGAGTTCTCAGCAGCAGGCCTGCAGCAGCCCGGCCCGGAAGCAGGCTTTAACTCTGCTGCCTGGTCGCATTCCTTCCCACTGTCTCTGTGGGTACCCCTCCTAGGTGCCCTTAAACTCCTTCCCCAGTAAGTCCCTTTACTGGTTCCAGGCTCTTCCGCAGGCCTGTGCCCAGGCCGACCACTGGGACTCAGTGGGTGCCATGTCTAGCCCCTCGTTCCTGATTCTAGCTGCCGTCTGGGAGAGGAGACCTTCTCCCTCTCAGCTGCCACAAGCTTAGAAAACAGAGGCACCAGGGACCACAGAAGCGCAGTCTGGAAGGGGACACGCTGTGTGAGTGGAGAACGGAGGAAGGGCAGGGGGAATGGGGTGGGGCCACCTCAAAGGCCAGGGCCTGGGACTGGGGCAGCACGGATGGAGCCGGGGAGACCCGAGTCAGGGTCTGGGGAGCTCCTGCTGGCTGGACACTGAGATTCTCGCTTCCCCAGGAGAATCCATTCAGTGCTGACTCCTTTGGGCCTGGGGAGTCACATTCAGCTGTGCCCTGGGGTCACTTCTGCCAGGGTCCCGTGAGGTCTGCCTGGTGCCAGGCAAGGGCACCGCGTCCTGGACTGAGCACAAAGGCCCCTTCAAACAGCTGCTGCTCTCAAGGCAGGGAGACGGGACAGAAGGGTGTGTGTGTGTGTGTGTGTATGTGGCTGTAGTGTACTCCTTCCAGCTCCTCCCAAAGTGGGTTCAGGAGGAGAGCCCCCACCCCCTAGAACACTCGTCTCGCCCCCCAATAACCACCCCCCATCCCGGCCCCGAGCCTCCAGCCCGACCAGGAGCCATCCTGACACAATGCAGGGGGCAGACAACACACCGGCTCTTTCCCAGGAAACTGGGAGCCAATATGGGGAGCAGGGAACCCCTTGTTTCCCCACTGGAGTGAGAGCTCAGCCTCCAGGGAAGGGAGGGTTCCATGCAGGGGGGCTAGACTGTGTGTGACATGGGACGCCTGTCACGATGGGCACACAGGAGCTTGGTCCTGCCTCCTGCCCACGGCGGGGTGGGCACCTGACTGGGCACGCATCCAGTCCATGCTTGGGGAGGGCAGCAGGAAGAGACATCAGGGCAGAGGCAGACACGGAAGGAGAGAAGAACAATTTGCTTCTTGCCTCATTGTTTTTCCACTCAATTTTTCTGGATTTTTGAGGGTCGCAGAGACCTTCCCTCAAGCATCACAGAGAGATGGGTCGTGGCGGGTGTTGGGTGCCCCCCCGTGCCGGGTCCCTGCTCCTCAGCACCCGCACCCTCCTCACAGCATGCACCGGCACCATTCCAGCTCAGACATGCCACGGTCAGGAGGGAACATAAAGACCCCTCCCCAGGAGCTTATCCACAGGTGATCTCTGTGCGCAGCTGGGTATGAGGGCCCCCTCTCCGGCCCCAGCCCCCAACACAGGCAGGCCAGGGGTGTGCATCTCTAACAGGGACACACCGGAAACCCTGACTCTGAAGAGGGAGGGGTCTTGAATTGGACCATAGCCACAAACGCTCCTGGAGCCAGCCTGCATTATCCCAGAAGGTGGGAAGGCTGTGGCGGGGCGGGGTGAGGAGCGACTCTGCCCAGCTGGCGCGAGGAGCCTCATGGCCGAAGCAGGACCTTCACTTGGGCATGTCTCTCTTCTCCTTTCAGTCTCTGCTTTCGGGGGTTTCCCACTAACCTGAGCCCACTGCCCACGGCCCACGGCCCATGAATGGACTCTCCCCCCTTTTTTTTCTTGCAAGAACACTGCCTAGACTCCTGGGTGAAATACAACCATCTTCACACACTTTCCTCTAAGAAGCCTTTTTTTGGGGTCAGTTTTAGTGGATTTTTCATAACAAGCAGGCAGTACCAAGCTCTCACGTGCTCATTGTGTTGGGCATCCGGTGTCACACACAGTCTAGCCCCTCTGCACAGGGCTATTATCTCATTCTTACTTTGGACATCCTGGCAGGCTACCAAATGTAACCTGCCCACACGTCAGAGTCTGGCAAACTCCCTGTGGCATACCCAATATGCCAAATACCAGTAACAATGATGGGTCTCATTCTCCTAGCCCTGAAAGAGCCTTGAATATGGCACTTTTTAAAATCTCAGGGCTAGGATGAGATTTGTCAGGAGACGTTACTGGTGCCTGCTCGAGGCAATCAACGAACAACAGGAGGATCGTGATTGTGATTCATAACAAGCAATACAAAATAAATTATTTTGGTTCTACTTTGGGGCAGGGTTTGGGGTTCCAGATGGAAATATGGTGGTGGGAAGGTACATTGGTGGGATTGGTGTTCGAATATTAAATGTAAGCAAATATTGTGAACGACTTTATAAAAATAAAATAAAAATATTTTTAAAAAGAACACTGCCTAGAAGATCACAAAAATTCCTTCTAACTCAGAATTTGCATCATTTAGCTGGACTCCTGGGGCTCCCAGGCTAGTTCCTGGTGCACCCAGCACGTGCATCAGGGTCCCTTGCTGGGACCCAAGTGCAGGCAGAGCCGACTCTACCTGGAAAAGGAGGCTGCCCAGGCGCCCTCTGAGCGCCAGGCCTCTGGGTTAGGTCACAGTCACATGGGCCAGTGAAGGCCGAGCTGGCCAGTCCTGAAGCTCCCACGAGATGGCGCTGTGGGCCCACTGCAGGCCCACACAGACAAAGGCGGGTTCAGGCTTCAGCCTGAGCCAAGTGCCAGAGAAACAGTTGGGTTTGCCTGGCCCAAAGGACTGCTGACGAGATTTACCCCGCTCCCCCATGCCCCACAGTGAGCCCATTCCAGAGCCCACTAATAGGGTGGGGAAATGAGTGGACCCCGTTAGGGGCACGGTGGGCAATGTTCACGCCTCCTCCTTGTCCAGAGCACAGCATACCCTGGTGTGCTTGGGACACGGGCCCACACAGCCCCGCACTGGGCGGTTCTGGGGACCCCGAGCAGCAGGCAGGGGCGGAGGCTGAGGGAGGTCTGATCCCTGAGATGATTCCTTCAGGTGCCTGAGGATGAGTCTCACTGCTTACTGGGCACATCAGCCAAGGAAAGGTGATCTCCACATCAATACTCAGGCATATCTAAGAGCTTGACTTCAATACAAATACTGTACACCCTGAACAAACACCAGGAGCTCTGAGCACCTGTATGGCAAACCATAATGCACAAAGAGAGAGAGAGGAAGAAGAAAGGTGCCTGCCCTGGCACCTGCAGGGTATGGGGACACTGGTGCTGGGAAATGTACACTGGTGAGGGATGGGTGTTGGAGCACTGTGTGACTGAAACTCAACCATGAACAGCTATGGTGATTCAATAATAAAATAAACAGTTAAAAAGTATATTGGTAGTAACTGAGAGGTGTTGGTCAGTATACCACACCTCTGCACCGCCACGCGTAGAGGTGAGGCAGCCGCATGCTTCAGTGAGAGTCAGCCCTGACATCGGCAAGCAGACAAGGAAGGGCCTCATGGCAAAGGGATTCCTAGGATATAATAAAACCACCCAGCCTTAATGCCATCAGGGCCCACCTTGTGAGGACAGGAACCAGGGTCTGATAAGACTTTCATCCGAAGGTGCCAGCAACAGACCCAGAGAAGGCTGGACCCCCCACCTCCAAGAGATCTGTTCCAGCAGAAACAAAAGGTCAGGAAGGAAATTTTAAAGACCATTAACCATTCCCAACTCTACCTCTTGGCAACCTCCCTAGCAATGGGCTTTTTACCGAGGTGGAGACGCCACATGGGGGCAGGTTGGGAAAATCCCATAGAAGCCACCTTAACAAAGGGAGGGTGCACATGCTGCCCAAGCCTAGGTGTTGCTCGTGCCCATGTGGCCAAGCACACGTGGTGCCTGCATCTCCCTTCTTGAGATGTGTCCTGGGGCTCTCTCTGTCCCTGGAGAAGCCCTTGTTCTCTATTGAGTGCGTTACTCTCTCCCTCTCTCCCTCCTTCCCTTCCTTCAAACCTCCAAATTGAAATTTGTTTTTACTTCACTGATTGTCTTCTCCTGAAATTCTTTTCTGAGAGAAAGGCCAGGACCTAGAAGGATCAGGTGAGGCCTAAGACTGTTTTTCCTTTTCCCACAAGGGACAATTCCTCGCTCCACCCTGAGTCCATGATTCCCCAAGAAATAGGGTGGTGGGGATTAACTCCCATGTCGGGCAGAACAAGTGGATGCCACGAGTGGCTGGATGGCTAGTCTGAAGGGCCCTGCAGGGCACATTGCAGACTTTATCAGGTCTTGACTTCCTGGCTGTCTTGAGGTGGCAGAGGTGGATCAGGAGAAAGAGGTCGTTTCTCCTCTTCCCCTCACATAAGCCCCGTGGGGTCCACTAGCATCAGTATTCAGGGGTCACTCCCAGCAGAGCCAGGGACAGAGCCAGTGTTGGCACATGCCAGGGGAGCTCCTTAACCCCTGTACCATCTCTCGGGCACAATAAAGGTGATTTTTAGTGCTGGAGTGATCGCACAGTGAGTGCACAGGGTGCTGCTTTGCATGCATGAACCTAGGTTCGATTCCCAGCACCACATGTGGTCTCCTTAGCACCACCAGGAGTGATCTCTGAGTTCAGAGTCAGGAGTAAGTTTGGCACACCACTGGGTGGGACCCAAAAACAACAACAAAAAATGTTTTTAAAAAGTTGGAATGATAAAAAGTGTTTTCAAAGAACATGAAATATAAACAGTGCGTTTTACATCAGCTCACGCCACAGAGACTGGCACACATCAAAAAGAACAAGAACAACCAGTGCTGGTCTGAATGCCGGGAGAAAGGGACTCTCTTTCATTGTTGGTCGGAATGCCTACGGGTCCAGAGAGAGAGGAGGAAAGTAGCTGCCAGAGGCAGGCTGGGG